GGCCGCCGGGCCAGGAAGCTGTGAGCCAACAGCGCCTCCTTGGCGTGCTCGTCCTGCGCGCGCAGTGCCAGGGCGCTGAGCAGCTCCGAGTTGTTGGACGTGCTGCGGTAGTACAGCATGTGCGCCAGCTCCAGCGCCTGCACGCTGCGCCGCTGCCCGAACATCTGCGGGGACAGCCCGCGGGGAGCAGGGGTGAAAGTTCGAGGCGTCCCCACGCCACCCGGGCCTCTTCAGTTTGGGTCCAGGGCTGGGGTACGGAGCTACGGTTTTCACGCCTGCTCTCTCGCCCCGGGCTCCTGGCCACCAGCCCCCACCCCACCCCAGCCAGTGGGAAGATTGCTAGGATTTCGGTTTTGGTTTTGCAATACTGGGGACTGAACTCAGGGCCTGGCACATGCTAGGCACACTCTCAGCCACTGAGCTGCACCCTAGCCTATTCTGTTTACTTTTGAAACAGTCCCGCTAAGTGGATAAATTCCCCAGGCAGGGTTGAAACTTAGAACCCTCCTGCCTCAGCCTCCCAGGAACCTGGGATGACAGGTGAGTGCCACCACCCTCAGCTTGAAGATGAGTTTTTACCAAACGCTGCGCTGGTTTGTTCTTCTGGGCTATATTTAAATGGTTTTCTCAACAACTTTCAAACAATAAGAGTTTTAGCCTTGGAAGAGTGTGTTACAATAAGAATCCCTTGACCACTGTCACCACTCCTGTTCAATATAGTTTTGGAAACATTAGCCACAGCAATTAGATAAGAGAAAAAAAGGAATAAAGATAGGAAAGGAAGAAGTTAAACTGTCATTATTTGCTGATGACATGTCTCTACAAAGAAGACCCAAAAAACACCATCAAAAGACTTCTAGGTTTAATTCACAGATTCAGCAGAGTAGCTGGATAAAAGGTCAATTCTCAAATAACAGCCTTTTTTTTTTTGGATTTTTGAGACAGGGTCTCACTATGTAGTTGAGACTGACCTGGAACTCACTATGTAGGCCAGGCTCAACAGCCTTCTTGTACACAAATAATAGACTCACTGAGAGAGAAATTAAGGAAAAAATTCCTTTCACAATAGCACCCAAATAAATGAAATATCTAGGAATCAATCCAATGAAGGAAGCAAAAGACCTCTACATTAAGAACTATAGCACTCCGGGAAAAAAAAAAAAAAGATCAAAGAGGATATAAGAAAATGGAAAGACATCCCTTGTCCTGGGTAGGAAGAATCAATATAGTGAAAATGGCCATACTTCCAAAACTGCTATACAAATTCAATGCAATCCCTATTGAAATTCCCAACAGTATATTTCACAGAACTACAGAACACAATACAAAAACTCATTTGGGACCGGAAGAGACCTGGAATAGCAAAAATAATTCTAGGCAATAGAGACATAGCAGAGGGTATCACAATTCCCAACTTGAAACTATACTACAAAGCCACCATGATGAAAACAGCATGGAACTGGCAAAGAAACAGACCTGAGGATCAGTGGAATAGATTAGAAGATGTAAAAATAACTCCAGACATAGTCAGCTACCTCATCTTTGACAAAGAAGCCAAACATCCTCACTGGAGAAAAGACAGCCTCTTTAATAAACAGTGTTTAGGGGCAGGGATTTGGTTCAGTGTTTCCGCCACCTGCCTTGCAAGTGCTAGAGCCTGAGTTGGATTCCCAGTTAAAAAAAAAAAAAAAAAAAAAACAGTAAATGGTGTTGGAGGGCCGGGGATTTAGCTCAGTGGTGCCACCACCTGCTTTGCAAGCACAAGGTCCTGAGTTCGAGCCCCAGTACCAAAAATAAATAAATAAATTGTGTTGGAAAAACTGGATTTCAACTTGCCAAAGATTAAAACTAGACCCATATGTTTCACCATGCACTAAACTAAAATCAAAGTGGATCAAAGATCTAAATATTAAAACAAACACTAAACTTGCTGGAAGATAAGTTAGGTAGAACTCTCAAAGACATTGGCATAGGAAAAGACTTTATGAACAAATTCGCAGTAGCACAGGAACTAGCACAAAGAACCAACAACTGTGATCTCATCTTATTAAAAAGCTTTTGCACTGCAAGAGAAACTACCAACTGAGCTAACAGGCATCCTACCCATGGGAGGGCTGGGGATTTAGCACCTGTCTCACAGCGTAAGGTCCTGAATTCGATTGAAAAAAAAAAAAAAAAAAAAAAAAAAAACCTACAGCATGGGAAAAAAATTTTACCAGCTGTTCCTCAGACAAAGGTCTGTTATCCAGAATACATAAAGAACTCAAAAAAAATCAGACCCCTCAAATATAAAGACCACAAAAGTGGGCATCTGAAATGAACAGAGATTTCTCAGAAAAAGAAGTTTAAGCAGCAAATAAACATGAAAAAAATGTTCCACATCACTGGTCATCCGAGAGATGCAGATGAAAACAACACTGAGATTCCACCTCACCCCACAAAGAATGGCTGTTATCAAGAAATCAACCGATAACAAATGCTGGCAGGGTTGTGGGGAGAAAGGAACCCTTCTCCACTGTTGGTGGGAGTGCAGACGGTGCAACCACTGTGGAAATCAATATGGAGACACCTCAAACAACTAGGATTAGAAGTCCCATTTGACCCAGGTATTTCTCTGCTGGGTATCTTCCCAAAAAAATCATACCACGGTGATACATGCGCACCCATGTTTATAGCAGCACAGTTTGTAATAGCTAAAACTTGGAAATAGCCCAATTGCCCATCAGTTCGAGACTGGATAAAGAAGATGTAGGTTTTTTTTTTCTTGTTTTTTTTTTAATAAAATGGAGTACTATTCAGCCATGAATAACAAGAAACTAGAGACATAGCTAAGGGGGTACACATTGAGGCCATACTCTTAAGTGAAATAAACAGGACATGCGTGTAAATACCAAATAGTTTCTCTAGTGTGAGAAAAGGATCAAAATATATAACTGATATTGTGAAATAAGAAGAAAATGTCTAAAGTAGTAGGGGAAGTGGGAGGGGTAGGGGAAAGGGAAGAAGAGAAAAAAAAATATGAGAAAAGGAAAAAACATGGAAACAAAGTCTTTTTAAATAGGGAAGGATACAGGGCCGGGGATTTAGCTCAGCGCTTCCACCACCTGCCTTGCAAGCTCAAGGACCTGAGTACAATCCCTGGTACCCAAAAAACAAAAACAAAAAATAAATAAATAGGGAAGGGTGGAGAGGGTGAAGGGAGGGCAGGGGACTGGGGAAAATGTGAACCAAGGTAAGTCTTGTAAAGGTACCAGACCCCAGTGATGAGTGTAACTGCGCTGCACACCTGAATGTACCAATAAACTCAGTGGAAACAAGAAGAACCCCTCACCCTTGACGGACAGGCTCCCTTATATCCAGATTCGTGTCCAGATTTATTCAAAAGGACCTGGTGAGAGCACATGGGTTCGGAAGAAACCTGATCAACTCTTAACTGTGGGCGCCGGGTGCCCGCTGCACGGCAGCTCACCACGCTCCTATTTCTGCATTTTCTTGAACTTTTGCATAATAAAAAAGGTTTAATATCACATGGTAGCATTAAATTGTAAAGAGAACCAATGGGAGGATGCGGGGGAGGGGCGGCCCAGGCCCGGTGTCCACCTTGGCCCGTCTCCCCCTCCTTGGGGTCCCTCAGTAGGGGACTCAAGAGCCCACCCAGCAGCTGGCGGCCAGGGCTGAGACCAACTTCTGGGCAGTGAGGCTGATGGCCAGGAAAGTTCTGCAGGTCGGCACGGGGGACAGAACCTGGCCCTTCGGGTGCACCCGAACACCAGTGACAGGACAGCCCCCGCCCCACAGGGCCACCGTGGGGCCAAAGGTGGGATAAGCACAAGAGGGACAGGGCCACACCTTCTCCGCAGGGGCCCAGCACCCAGCCTCTGTCCCTGAGCTGGTACCAATCACCACTTCCATGGCAAGTGAGGGACGCAGGGCGACAGCGTCAGGGCCCATGGGGTAGGAAAGCACATTAGCTTTTGTGTCCGTGGTTGCCAAGCTAGGGAGCCAGAGTCTCCTGAATGAGAGCAGTGGGTCCCTCTGTTCACGGCACACATGTGGCCACAGGTCACCAGGAGGGCGGTCACCAGCTGCCACCCACCGGCCGGCATCTCCCCTAGTCTCCCGGTGCTCTGGCTGGGACCCGGCATCTCCGGCCCAGTCCCCTCCAGCCCTGCCCCTGCCCTGCTCTCAGCTGTCCCAGGGTATCGAGCCACGCCCTTGTCACGGCCCCCGGGACACAGGACAGACGCCTCCCCCCACAGATGGACACTGTGTCCCCGGCTCCTGGGGCCCCCACTTCAACCTCCACAAAGTGTGTGACCCTGTCTCCCTGCTGGGCAGTGTGCAGGAGGGCGATGGCTCTGGAGGCCAGCAGAGGGGCCAGACTGAGACAGAGCACTCAAGACGGGGAACCCAGAGGGAAGGGACAGGGTGGGCCCTGTGGGGCAGGGCAGAGGCCACAGGGTCAGTGTGGAGGAGGCTGTGGTCCCGCCACTGCATGCACTGCACGTGTGTGCTCGTAGGGTGCTGGGACTGTCTCTGAGCTGCGTCCTTCTGAGCTGTGTCCCTGACCCTTTGGCCCTTTTTTTTTTTTTTTTTTT